ACAACATCGGGGCCACTTTTGAATGCAGTCTGGTCTACAGAATGACCTGCTGACCCGGCTAGTCGATGAACAACACAGTGTCCCAGACAAGTCTGATACCAGTTACATTCGGAATCCCTGAGATGAGGTAGGCGTGGCTGCGTACATCAATTGGACGTGATGGCGGCTAAGGTTTTCGTGAGACATTCCCATTTTGGAGCAGTAGCAGTCATGTGATTGTGCAACACCGAACAAGATGACAGTTATCTCAAGTTGAAATATCCCGGGAGTGACCCATCCTATGCCATCTCCAAATGCCATGCCTACTCCATCCCAGGGATAAGCAGTGTAAGTAGTGCTAGAGGTGTCGAAGGTTTGATAGGCGTAGAGTGGATCAGAGAATTACCCTTCTAATTGCGAGCGCAGTAAGCAGCACTACTTGTGTCCGCATTATCTTTGCTCGAAACTGAAGAAAAGCGAAAGGGTAAATCCCCATTCTCTCCTGTCATCTTTGGGCTATCGCTACTGGTCCAGAAAATGTCCGCATCTGGAGCCGTAGTCCTCAAACTCAACACCACATTGTCAGTTCTTCATGATTTTGCCAGTCCACTCTTGCTAGCAATGTAATGGGTGGCCGCAGAGGCTCACAAAATCAAGGTAGTCGGGTGCAATCGAATAATGTGCAACGCACTAAAGTTCATCAATGGGCTGAGCGCACATAATGAGCACAACTTAATGGGAGTACGTCGAGGCAGCTTTGTATAGGTGGACTGCAAACTGTAAGCATTGGGCGCAAGGTCGTGAGAGGCTCTTTTTCGCAGCCGATTTCTCCCATCAAGAAACTATACAACGGTTGGGGGGGAGGTTGCATGATGTTCAACCAAGCCGTGTGTTTTCATCCTTAGTAACGGATCGATTATCTCCAAAAAGTACAAGAAATCCTCTGCGCGTGTTCATCAGCTTCCAGCGGGTGACAGGAGAATCGTAAATTGCCGCGCTACCCGGTATGTCCGGTAACTGCCGGTAGCTTCCCGGTAACTGCAAACCTTACAGGTGTTAACAGGTCTGTGCAGGAGGCATCGGCAGTGATAGATGGTAACCAGCAAAATGCCCCCATTAAGCCGAAGTGCGCCAAACTCTACTGCGAAGTCAGTCGTGTTTCTATGACAGTGAGCTGATGGTGAGCTACAGATCAAGTACGGTGTGCAACATCTTTTAGAGGATATATATCTTTATTCAAAATATATTTATTACAATTCTGTATGAAACACGTTAATAATTAATACTTATGTGTAACTATATATCTATGCGAATAAATCCTACTAAGCGGTATAGAAGTCTTCAATAAAAAGAACGTTTTCAAAAACAAAACCTATAAAAGCTACCCAAGCACTTCGAAAGAACATCGTAAAGTACATATCGTGATTAACCCAGATGGTAATGCCGCAAAATATCACCAAAAAAGAGAATGAACAAGAGCACTTATAGGATTAACTTGTAGAAGTAAAAGTGAAGTAAGCAGAAAACGTAAGGCACGACAAATAGGCAACAAAGAAGTGAAAAACATTGAACGCCAGAAGACACGCACAATAATACCTGTTGATTCTTAGGCGATAAAGGGAAACAAAAGAAAAAATATAATAAACTCTCAACAATTGCACTTGTGAAAAACTTCGGAATACTTTCCCGAATTAGTCATTTTCAACAGCCTCCAGTTGCTCGAGATCACTTGGGTCGAGTCTTGGAATCGGCTTTCCTGGAAGCAAAAAAGTAAATCATTTCAGTCATTATTCATGCCACACTAACAAGCTGGAAAAGGCAGAAAAATCATACAGTTAAGGGACAAACCGAAGAAAGCTTCAATTTTCCTAATAATGATAAGCGCTTCACGGCTGTCCACAAAGTTAATCGCTATGCCTGCCTTTCCAAATCGGCCGGTGCTGAAAAACGTTTTTGCAAACAACGAACGTTTGCAGTCATGAAGAAGCCTAGTTATTTTCCGGTTCTGTTTCCTGTTGTCAGATCAAGCTTTCTTTCGAATTTTGAACATCAGTAAAGCCCCTACATTCGGACGCGAATGTTCAGAATCCTTCACGTCAGACGTGAAGGACTTCGATCGCATTTAATCGGCACGTGTCGCGCGCGGCGCTTCTGGCATTCTGCCTCTCCATAGCGATTGGAGCGCAAAGCTTGAGCCGTGGACCGTGGCGTGAGCGCCAGGCAATTCCTGGCCAAGCGATGCGATATTCGTGTTTGGAGGTCGAAGGTCTGGAAAAATTTTTTAGCCTTTTTTTAAAAAGCTCGATAGAAAAACTGGTCTGATGTCGGAAGATTGGGGTAGTAACAATTGAATAGTGCCCCATCTAAAAGATCATTAGGTGAGTCTGAGAAACACACTCACTGCTCTTCAGTTCACGTTCATCCCATCGGTTGCAAAGTATGAAACTAAAGGAAAGCTTGCTTCTCTTTGTTCACATCCTCCTAATTGGAATCGCGCTTGCAAAGACTATGGAACTCTAAAACAGCCTAAGTCGTCTTCAATTTATGTCCAACGGTGCGAGGTTTGCGCTTAATCGCTATGGAAAGCGCGGATCACCGAAGATGGCAAAGTGCCAGAAGCGCCGCGCGCGACACGTGCCGCGCGGTGTTGTAGGAATAGAAGCTTGTGAGCCGTTGTCTCGTACAGCTACAGTATGATGTCGCACGCGTTGCCACGCTCACGTGTCTCTAACTTCTTTATCTCGCCGTTTTGAGGGACGAAAGTGGTATGTTCTCTGTGAACGCGTATAACAATTTCAAAGGCACGGAGTCATTCTGAGGACCACTTGATCGCAGGAAGTGTCTTTAACAACCTTGTTGGCACAAAGGCAAGAAAGCCAATTGAAGACTTCGAAAATTATAATTCATATATTAATTCGCCTACCGTCCAATACGGTGAAGATAGGTGTCATAGTCAGGTTCAGACTGATTCTCGTATAACAACGGTGGGTCATAGTTGATGACTATGGTCACTTGGGTAACATCAATACCTAGAAAGTAGCTTCTTTAGTTCACTTGTGGGTCCAACGAAATTAACATCAGTAAGGCAGTGGGATAATTGAAGACGGACAAATGCCTTCCATGTTTCAGAGCACTTTAGAAGCTATGGGAAAAACACTCGAATGACCTACTGTAATTGTAATGTCTGTGATACTCTAGATGGCAATTAGAGGGAAATGTGAGTATACCGTTTCTCTGCGGCCTTAATCACACAAACTAATCTCAAAGGTAAACTACACCTGACATTTGAACAGTCAAGATATAATGCATCTACTGTCAAGACAAGCAGTTCAAACATAAGCGATATGAGCCTAAGCCCCGATTAGGGGCTCTCATCGCAGGCAAAGCTGATCAAAAGCATTTGAACCGTCAACTTCAGGAGCGATTCTAGTTACCGGGATAGTGCTCTTAATTCTTTTATTCAACGACTTTAAACACATTTTTCCCTCGTTCCGGAACCAAAATGAGAGGAAATGTGCTACTACACGCGTAGATGGCAAACGATAAGCTTTCGCAGTAAGCGATGGTTGTTCAGGACATCCGATCGCGGCATTCCTAGCTAGTTGACCTGACCAGCACGTCCTCAGCATCAAATTAAAAGTGTCAAAACAGCATACATTAACAGAAGGCCATACATCAAATGATTAGACGCCAAAGACCAGTGGTTGTGACCTAGGCACTTGCCGTTGAAGAATTCCCAGCGGGGGTCGTATTTGGTCGGTGGAGCGAGGGGGGGGGTATCGTATTAGCCTTTAGAAGAAATTTTCCGACTCCCAAAAAAATCATTCTCCCTCAATTATTCAAACCCTAGTTTCTTTTCTTATATCCAGGTGTCATATCGATGCACATCATCTCTACCCGCCCCCCCTTCCATCCAAACTAGCGTACAGTGGGCATTTTGGGGGAATAACTGCAAATTTCTGGAGAATGCGGTTAAGTAAAAACTGTAAAACTTAGTAGAGAAGCAGAAGGTTAGAACGAGTGTACCAGAGGAGGAAAAAAAATTTGAGGGCGGTGGTCAAATATTCCAAAATGCTCCCCCCAGTGGCGGGAAGTGTGCTGATAGTGACGAATCAACTAGCTAAGAATTACCTGGTTTGAGCGCAGTGCCGCGCCTTGAATTTCTTAAACGGCACCTCTTTTTTAGCAGGACTAGCAGGATGAAGCAAGAGTCGAATATGATTACCTCTAGCGCACACGTTTGTTGTGATGAGCACCTTGAAGTCGCCATCTTTAAATCGCTGAATGGATTCAGCACGTTCCTCTACGGACATCTCACCGTGCAGAACACCAACCTAAGTATAATGCTTACAGGTCCATCACAAGACCAAATATTGCGTAAAATGGCAATCTCGGGTGAGACTAGTGAGCAATAACAAACCGAATGCCCTTTTTCAACCATTCGTTCCGCCAGCCATGACGCGCTTCTTCGAGTATGCGTGAAAATCACACATGACGCTATCGTCAGCCCGCTGTACAATTCAACAACAGCCTGAAATCATCGAACTCACTTGAGAAATTGCACACATATCTTCATTCTTTCGCCCTTTTCTAAAAGAGTTTCCCTGGCCATAAATATTCAATATTGAACGCATGACTTTATTTATTTACACCATAAGGGGTTCCCTAAGTTGTTACATTACAACAGGCCCAATACCCAACATGTACACTAGACGTCAGGACATAGGCAGCGTTCAGACCTCGCGACATAGCGCTTCGATCGCGCGATCGACGCAGTTGAAAGCATGCGCATCGATCGCTGCAAACGCGCGACCGAGCGCTGCCGTCGCGAAGTCTGAACGCTGCCATGGAGCAAAAGAGAACAAGCCATCCTATACCCCGAGGAGAAGAGAACGTTTACAACTGAGGATTGTAACTGAATATTTGTAATCTAGTTCTCCCCTACTAACAGATGAAGAGGTAGGCCCAGTACAACCACACTCTCTCCCCTCCTACTGCAGCGCAGAAATTCTTCATAATGTACGTATATAATCTCTGAATAAAATTGTTTCACCTGGTACTTGGCATCTCGTCCAGGACACTCAACAAAATACTGCTTGATATTCGGCAATGCTTGGTCTTCCCTCTTGAGCCTGAATCAAGTATATGACTGTATGAATCGCTAAAAACGCATTTACTCACTAGCTGCTGAACTTTGGCAGCTTACGCTGATCCAACATACTTGTCTGAAAGATTTTTGCTCGAGATTAATAGTAAGATAACATTACAGACGAAGCGTTTGACATTAAGTGCTTTTTGGAATCGTCACCGCCTTCCATTTGAGCTTTTCAATACTTTTCACCAGCGCTGGTTTGGCCTGCGACAGAGGTGGGGGGGGGGGGGGGGCATTTTCGGTAGATCCTTTTGCTGGCTCATTTTTACTAACAAGTCTCAGACCTGTAAACTCCTGTAAAGTCGCGAAATTGTTGGATTGAGCCACTTTCGTTACCTTTGCAGCTCTTCACTAACTATAAGCGGCCTATACAAGATTTGCTGAGTAACATTCGGTGCCCCCATCAAGCCAAATGTGCCATTTCCATAGCACTTGACATTTGAATGCAGTTCCGCTGAAGTAATGACTTGCAAGGACAAGCTTATGAACAAAGCAGTGCCCTTACCCTCTCAAATGAAACTAATACTAATAGTCTACCCTGAGAAACAGGAATACGTTATTTGTTGGTCCACAAAGTTATCGCTCAGCTTCCTCAACACCAGGAGAGATCTTAAACAATTCAAATGAGCTAAATAGACCTGGTCCAGGTCAAGTGTCTGACAACAGTCAAACAATGCACGACAATTGCCACCCGCGGGGAACACTAAACAAGCTACGGACAAGTGGAGAAGAGTACTATGATACATATATGTTGGCAGCATCTGTTAGACAACGGGAACTACCTTGGTACGGTCGGGGGCGCATAACTTTTGAAAACATACCCCCTCCAGAAAAAAAGTTGCGGGACCATATTTCTGCCATTCCCCCCCCCGAAGACCAGTCGTTTTTGCCTTGATACCCTACCAAAAACAGTTTTCCTATAGGATCCGCATAGATCAAAAAGATTTGGCAATCTGTGTTCGTCAACCCATTACATAGCCCGGCAAATGACTCAGTTTCAGCGCTTATGTCACGAGATATCGGAGCGTCATCTGGTGATGTCCGTTGACCGCCACACTCATCTAACGCCACATCACGTCTCATTGTCATGTTTTTCGATAGTAGTAATTATCTGTTGTCTTCTACCAACAGCAACAAATTGAATCATTTTGGGAAGCCGAAACGAAAACAGAACAGCAGCGATAGTTCAAGCTGCACAAAGGAACATTTGGTGGGGGAGGGGGTCCGGTTTAACAAACCGCAATCCATAGAAATTCAAGTCAAAATCGCGATGGTGTGCAACTTTGCGTCTCGCTGGCCCACACTGTAAGCGATGGCATCCATAAGGTGCTCAAAAATTGCCAAGGATCCCGCAATAATAGTTATGTAGATTTTGGTCTCACACTCTATTTCGATCTCTCTATAAACCTAATTTGAAAAAAATATGACACTGACCAACCAAGGTAGATTTTGGTCTCACACTCTATTTCGATCTCTCTATAACCTAATTTGAAAAAAATATGACACTGCCCAGGCAAACAGCCTTCTACCCTCCGGGGACGGTGAATTGGTACCAGATTCGTCTGGGAGGATAAGAACACTGACTTGTACATCGGCTGGCCCCCGCAAGTCATTGTATAGGCCACATCGCATTCAATAAGCCACTACGATTCTGAATGGAAGTAGAATGCGTGCCGCATCCCACAAAGGGATTGATCAATGGCGGAGACTTCATCCTTCTTTCATGATAGAACTTTCCCGCCAACATAATAAAACCGCTTGCTGGTAAACCATCGCTTTCCATATAAGAAGATAAGAGCTGTTTGAAAAGTGAATGAAGTACCGGTTTTGCTCACGCCAAGTTCATCAAGCAGTCCCCCCCTCTCCGAATTACCTGTCTGATTTAACGTTTTGAGAAGGCTAGGAGTATAAGAACAAATCTAATTTTTCTATTGAAATTCATTTACTTCGCACTTTGCCCATTGAACAGTAATATGAGAACGTGACAAGGATGACCTACTTATCATATAACCAGCTATTCTGCCGTTGCCTGCGACTATTGCGCAAGTTGGCAAATTTACCCCAGATTACGGTCTTTATAGAGTTAGAGGATTAGCGCACCTGCCTAGTCGCAGATGAATGCTCATTACTGTCTCAGGATTCTGCAAGTCAAAAACACGCAAAAAAGCATTATGGGGGAAACCCTTACGAGACAGAAACTGGCACTTACAATAAATTTATTCTCAATGCATCCCAGCATTAATTTGAATTTATGAGGTGTACCCAGTTGTCAACTAACGCAACACCTGTTGAAATAGGAGCCAACTGACCCTATACGGGATAATGAGTTGGTCGTTAAAAGGACGAGCTATAATCGTCGATTAACTTCACAATAGGGCAGAAATGGAATAAATGACCGAGTTTAGAGGGGCGCAGTTTCCGAAAAAAGCTTTCACTTCTTCGCAACAGAATATAGTATGAAGGGAAAAAGGAAGAGACACTCAAACCGCTTCAATAGTCAGAAAATAAGTTGAAAATAGTTGAAAATGAGCGGAAAACAGTAACTTCAACTCAACAAATTCTAGTAACATCACGCGCCATTAACTCACAATAAGCTTGATCAAGGTCAAAAGCACTGTATAGATACAGATAACATTCCCCAAAAGAAAACCGATTTGGGCTCAAAATATTTAGCCTGTGTGCATCCTTAAACATTCAGAAAAAAAAAACAAAAGCTTGACTATCACAAAGCCTGCTGATTTACAGGAAAGTCATGCCCTAGCATATTCAAACCCAAGAAACACCTTCAACAAACTCGTGAAAAGTTTAGCCCGCCGGTTCATTGCGATATCGGTCTAACGGGCTCATGGGATAGAAAGTGTGCGTGCCTTAAGCAACGAAGCAACGAAAAAGCTATTGAGCTGAGAGGAATAGGCAGCCTGGTAGCAGGAATAGAAAACGCCCACCGCCTGTAGCGGGAGATGCAGGTTTAGGAACCCGTCCTTAGGAGCAAAAAGTCAGACCCGTGTGGGGTCCGACTTTTGCCTCCTAACTCAGCACTCCTGTGATGAAAATTGAGTAAGTTATATACAAACTTACGTGACCGTAACAGCATTCTTTATGAGCTGCATTGCGAACTTTACAACATCTTCACCGTAAGTCGCCGAGAAGAGACAGGTCTTGAACCGTAGTCGATGTGCTTTTCGATTGTTCTAAAAAATTACATGGGATTCAGAATGAAGCGACAACAAAAAACAACCAGGGAAACGACTAGAAAGGTCAGATTCTTTCAGAAGAAGTGTCATTCCATGCTCACACCACGGAATCTCAGTCTATTTATTACCCATATTTTTACTTTTGAAGTATAAAGGCTTGCTTAGGACGTACTATTAACCAATGGTTTGCAGAGATGCATCTTAATGTGGGAAAGTACGGATAATATATAAGGTTCTAGAGCGAAAACGGCGAGGTTTCGACTTTCTTGCAAATCTTTTATCTTTATCTACCTTTTAATAAACACTTTTTACTGGAGATACGGAAGCACTCACTACGATAACAGGCAAACAAAAACAACAGAAAATGGTGTCACTATCTACACAAACACAGAAAATGGTCGAATTCCGCCGAAGGTAGACGCGATATGTGCCCTATACAAAATGGGCTTCATGCCCCAGAAGGTAGGCCCAGATATTTCGTCTGGCTTGAGCTAAATCATCGAGAATCTCAGTGCGGTAGAAATTTATGTAATGGTCACAGTCCTCCTGCAGCCCAATACAGGGCGAAAGACAGGTTTACGCTGCACAGGGTTACAATGTGCAGAGCAGTGGTGCTATATTCTTGAGAAGTCGTCGCATAAGCAGAGACAAGCCTTCCTCTTGCCAGCACCATGGCTAGTAGGTTCGAAGCACAACGTTCACAACCGATCGACTCTTGAAAAACTTCCACAAGCATTGATCAACTTCGTGAGGAATTCCGTTCTTAGCGACGAAGCCATCACTAGTAGATATTGCACAACGTTGCAATGGTTTAATGATTGTTTTCAGGTGTTTCTATTTGCTAGGTGCGTTTAAACGCCGCAGTGCGCGTTAGAACATCACAAGAGCTAAGTTATGACAAGAGTCAAACCCCAGACGGCACTCGAAATCGCATCTCCCGCTTACCGGAGCCATTGAGCTGAGAGGGTGAGTGCGGCCCCGGTATCGTCATGGATAACGCAACCGCCTGGTAAGTGGGAGATGCGCGTTCGAGTCCCGTCTGGAGTCTGACTTTCTGCCCAAAGCACTCTTGTGATGATTGTTTCTCATGACTCGATCCTTTTACAGGGAAGGATAGTGGTTTCCCACGCATATTCATTCGACGCATTCTGAAGAGAGAAGGGTTTAAAGATGTGTCCAAAGTGAAGGTGTGAGGTATTCAATCATCACGTCACTTGTGTTTTTATGGTGTGATTGATTAATGAAGTGCTTTTTGCTTCCCACTGGCACCTGCATAGTCCGGGCTTCTGACCCACACCAAGACAGTCTTTCCTCACTCCGAGGCCGAATCTGGTATAGGACTTCAGAGAAACCAAGATGAACACTGACAGGCTAAACTCACTGCTTGGGGCCAAATTCCCGGTCAATTTTCTAGAGCTGCAATGAGTCTAAATACGAGATGCGTTCCAAACTGAACCGCTAAATGCACATCATCTTAGGAAGTTGTTTTGTTTAGCTAAGCAAGTAAGTTTAAGCGCAATCGAATGTATTTGGTAAAACGCGCTGGAAAGCTCTTTGAATAGTGAGCTTGGACAATGAAAAATGCCAGTCCAAAATGCGATCGGCACTTACAGCGGACGAAAAAACGCCAAGGAATCGGCAAAGTGGATGGGGCCGATAGTGCAACTACTTAGAACTATAAAGAGCAGCTAGCCCACCATCTACTGGTATTACCCATAAATAACCTAGAGTAGAAAACTTACTTGTAGATTTGCGTGCTTTGTTCCGTATATCCAGCCTGATTGATCATGACGTCTGCTTCGTCGAGAACAAGACAACAAATATGAGACGGGTCAAGGCAGTGGTATTTGGTAAGATAGTCCACTAACTGGAACAAAAAAAAACTTAAAAGCTCATTATCGAGCACTAAAATCCTGAGCAAGACAATTGAGGAACAGTCTATATCATAAGACAACTGCATTTGAAATCAAAAGAGTACAAAGTAGTGCGGTAAGAAATGAGAACACCATGTGAACCAACCTTTCCGGGCGTACCAATAATTATTTGTTCGGTGATGGGGGCAGAGGCTAAAAAGCATCGTTCACTGGGATTAAACATCTTGAGTTGTAATTGTGGGAAGAAGCTCACGTTTTACCCCTCTCACGGCAAAATGGACCTCGACTTCAGGCATAAACTGTGCAATTTTCGCAACGACTTCACCTGAATCATAAATTTCCACATTATTCTCAGTAAAAATCTTTGCTTACGCATTTGAGATAAACTGTTCAACAGTACTAATTACTAATAGGAAGCAATATTAATCACTTCTGCCGGACTAGGTTATTGGAACCTTTTATTGGCCTAGAATTCCAATCTCTTTATTTCCAGAGGACCGAAGGTTCCAGCCCGCGGAACGTATTCGGGGAGGAAGTGGGGTGCGAGGATACGCGGCTCGCGGTTCGAGGGAACTTATTATGTTAAGGACATGAATATAACACCGCCCTAGGATGCTATTTTCGAAGAATAAAACAGATGGCGCTGAAAAGTGGGAAGAAAGAATCGTAAGCTAGAAAATTTCTGCCTCAGCCTAAAACGGGAGTTCCGGCTTAGACGAACCCACTGTTTT